TTTTTTTTTTTCTTGGAGAGGTTTTTGCTATAGAGCATGTGCACTCACCAGAAAGACAGAGAGAGACAGAGAGACAGAAAGCAAGAAATCACCCCCTACGGTATGGCCATGCCGCAATCCCGTCTCCTCCATTCTCCTCTCGGGATCTTGGGCACATGCACACATGTGCCTGGCGTGAGTTTAAGCCACTGGGTCCAGGACTTGAACCGTGGTTGACTACATGGGAGTCCAGCGACATAGCCACAACCCTATCTGTTGGTCCCAAAGTTAAATAATTCTTTAAAAAAATTTTTTTAATCAAAGAAAAAAATTTAACAGTGTTTTGCACTCCTTGTGAGGTATGTGGTCAGGAGAGAGAGAACGTGAGAGAACATCCCCATGGGGTATAGTCATGCTGTAATCCCTTCTTCATTTCTTCCTCGTTTTGGGATTTTGGGTACACACACACACACCTGGTGGCTTCTCAAGCAGTCAGGGTGTGGGACTTGAACTACATATGATCATATGGGATTCAGCCACCTTAACCACCAGGCCACAGGGCTGGCTCTAGTAAAGAAAAAATCTCGAAATATGTTAGAGAGACATGACATGTTATTTAGGGATGTTACAGAGAAATACCAATTTGAATGACAGTGGACTTCTCATCTGAAATCACAGAAGCCAGAAGGAAATGGCATGATATTTTTTAAGTGCTAAAATAAAAGAACTGCCAACCATGAATTCTCTGTTTGGCTTAATGATTCTTCAGGAATGATATGAAAAATTTTCCTTTCTCAAAGGAAAACTCAGAATTTTTCTGCAGGTCCAGCTCGCGGTCTGGTGATTAAAGCAGCTGGCTTCCCCAGGATTAACCATGTGGTTTGAGTCCTGTTCCTGGAGCCTTAAGAAGCATGCTGAGTGAATGTGTTCACATCCAAAATCCCCAAATGAGGGAGAAATGGAAGAGGAGAAGGGATTGCAGGATGACCATGCCCCATAGGGGGGTTCTTTCATGGCTTCCCTCTTTCTCTCTGTTTTTCTCCAGCAAGTTCACATACCCTCTGGCAAACAGGAAAAAGAAAAGAAAAGAAAAGAAAAGAATAATATTTGTTGCTAGCAGATCTACACTTAAAGATTGGCTAAAGAGGACCAGCCCTGTAGCTGGGTGGTTAAGGGAAGCCAGTCCCACATGGTAGACTGCAGTTTGAATCCCACCAAACTGACTTGACAGAAACATGTCAGGGGAGTGTAGGTGCTCAAAATCCTGACTGGATGAAGAAATGGAGAAGGAAGGATTGGGGCGTGACCACACCCTATAGGAAGGCACTTCCTCCAACCCACTCCCACCTCTCTCTTTCTCTAGTGAGCTCACACACCCTCTGGCAACTTAACAAAAAGAAAGACTGACTTAAAAAAAAAGAAAGACTGGGACCAGCAGTTAGCGTAATGACTATGTCGCTGGACTCCCACATAATCAACTGCGGTTCGAGTCCCGGACCCAGTGGCTTAAACTCACACCGGGCGCGTGTGCGTGCGTGCCCAAGATCCCGAGAGGAGAATGGAGGAGAAGGGATTGCGGCGTGGCCATCCCCCCTGGGGGGTGATTTCTTGCTTTCTATCTCTCTGTCTCTGTCTGTCTGTCAAGCGCACGCACCCTCTAGCAAAAACCTCTCCAAACAAAAAGACTGACTGACTGAGGTGGTATGATTAAGGTGCTGGATCCCACATGGCTGACTCCATGGTTTGAGTATCAGACCTGGCAGCTTGAAAATCATACAGGGCTCATGTGCATGTCTGTATATAAGCCCAAGAAGAGACCAGAGGATTGTGGTGTAGTGTGGTCATCTCCCCTGGGGGGCAATTTCTCACTTTCCCTCTTTCTGTCTCTCTCTGAGGAGTACCCCTGTGGCAAAAAAATCTTAAAAATAAAAGGAGGGGGGGCAGCAGGTGGCATGGTGGGTAAAGGTGCTGGATTCCCACAAGGCTAATGGTGGTTTGAGTCTTAGGCCTGGAGAATTGCTTTCTCGCTTTCCCTTTCTCTCTCTTCTCTCTCTCTCTTTCTGGTCGAATTAAAGAAATAATAGTAATGAATGGAGTTAAATAAGTAAATAATTATTTTAAAAAAACAGACTAGAGAGGGAACCAGCAGTTAGCGTAATGGCTATGTCGCTGGACTCCCACGTAGTCGACCGCGGTTCGCGTCCCGGACCCAGTGGCTTAAAACTCACGCCGGGCGCGTGTGCGTGCGTGCCCAAGATCCCGAGAGGAGAATGGAGGAGAAGGGATTGCGGCGTGACCATCTTATATATGATGATTGAAACAAAAGTTTTTAACACCATGTGATACCCAAGCAATGGTATTTAAGTGAAAAAAGTAAAGGTCCCTAAATGGAAGTGAGGTTTCCACATTTCACTCAGAATGGTAATATGTCGATAGTAGACTCTGACAAGTCACACATGCATATGTAATATCTAGGGCAACCACTACAAAAACTATAGAAAGAGACACCCAAACACACTGTAATCCAAACAGGAAGGAATCCTTGGGACCAGCAGATGGAGTAATGGTTATGTTGCTGGACTCCCACATATCCGACCATGGTTTGAGTCCTGGACCTAGAGGCTTGAAACTCATGCCAGGCATACGTACATTAGTGCCCAAGATCCTGGGAGGAGAATGGAGGGGAAGGGATTGCAGGATGGCTATCTCCCTGGGGGGATTATTTCTCGTTTCTGTCTGTCTCTCTGGCGAGGGAACATGCCTATAGCAAAAATCTCTCTTAAAAATAAAAAAAAATCCTCAACATGTTCAAATAACCCATAGGAAAGGGGAAAAAGAAAAACAGGAAGCATAAAGAAAACAATAAAATGGCGGACTTAGTGCCAGCATAATCATTACTTTAAATGTAAATGGTCTACATACACCAATGGGAACAGCCAGTCTATGGATTGTCATCAGATAACAAAGACAACACATCTACCTTTTGGCTTTTTGGAGTCTGTTCTCTGTAGGTCTGAGGAAACATGCTGCTCGCTCTGGGGGGCTCTGCCTGGAGACTCCCCTGGAGACTCCCCTGGAGACCTGAGGTCTCTTGACTCAAGGGCTTGTGCAGTGTTACCAGCAGGAGGCTGTTTGCTCTGCTTGCTGGGCTCATCGTGGGCGCTGGGCAGACAGGGGAGGGCTTGGGGTCTACAGGAATCTGGGCTCAGCCTTCCTTTCTGCTGTTCTGCCTCTTTCCGCTTGTTTTCTTCCTCCCGCTTTCTGGAAGTCAAGCCAAAGAAGAAGAGGAGAAAATTAGAAGATTGTCACCTGTCCACATGTCCCTGAATGAGATGTAAATGTTAAGAGGGGCTATCACATCATGGGAGGGAGTTAGACCTTCACATTTTCCAGGTGTAGTCTTTTCTCTAGATACAATAAAACCCATCTTGTTTACATTAGACCTTCTAGCCTAAACGATGATGATTGGAGCTGCAAAGGATCATACAGACCAGTCTTTCGCTGTTGAGACACTACATGACACATAACCAGGCAGTTGTTTTTGTGTGTAAGACATAACACACTCCCAGGATGTGCATGATCATCAACTCCATCCCCTTTCTTCCTGCTCCAGAAAGCACAAGAGAATGCAACTGAGATGACAGTCATAAGGGTAACCTTGAATTTGCTCTATTTTAGAAAGACGAAAGGCAAATCTTAATCAGAGGAAAAAATTACTTACAAAATACCTCACAATGGAATAAAACACACTTGTGTGTTGCAAAGGTGAGTGCTCCAGCTAAGGAGACAAACCTGTAGATGAGGCCCAGATGATTGGATGTTTTTTTTTGTTGTTTTGTTTATTATAAGGCACATAAGCCTGCCACAGGGACAGACAGAGATAGAGACAGAAAACAGGAAATCACCTCCCCGGGGGATGGCCATACCGCAATCCCTTCTCCTCCATTCTCCTCTCGGGATTTTGGGGATACATGCACACACACCCGGTGTGAGTTTTAAAAGCTGCTAGGTCTGGGGCAAGAATCGCAGTCGACTACATGGGAGTCCAGTGATGTAACCATAATGCCACTTGCTGGTCCCCAGTTGAATGGTTTTTAAAAAGTCACACACAGTTGCTGCCACCTGGGCTGAAACTCCTGTGTAGCAACAAAACAGAAGAGGGCTGGGCAGGAGAGGTCAGGTCTAGAAATGAGTAGCAGGGAGAAGCAGGAAGACAAGGTAGCCCAGGCCCAGAAACAACTGAAGAACTTGAGAATGAAGGGTGGAGTTAAGGGCAGGATTTTTGTTGTTGTTATTGTTGGTCATTCATTTGGAGGAATTTCCAGGGAAAGATAGGGAAAAAGCTCACGTTTTCTGAGTCTCCTCTGCCAGGAACAGAGAATACAGAAATGTGGACCACAGACTTCAGTTCCTCCCTTGAAGAACTTGCTATCCAGAAAGGGACAGCTAGGAAAACAGACTTAACATATAATGGAAGAAATGTTATAATGGGGGACCAGCAGTTATGTAATGGCTATGTTGCTGAACTCCCATGTAGCCAACCCTGGTTCGAGTCTCGGACCCGGTGGCTTAAACTCACGCCGGGCACGTGTGCATGCGTGCCCAAGAGCCCAAGAGGAGAATGGAGGACTAGGGATTGCGGCATGGCCATCCCCCCTGGGGGGGTGATTTCTCGCTTTCTCTCTGTGTCTTTCTGGCAAACGCACTTGCCTTATAGCACAAACCTCTCCAAAAAAAAAAAAGAAAGAAAAAGTTATAATGAGGTGCTGGAATAGAGGTACAGGGATTAATTTTGTTTGGAGGAATCAAGAAGGTCCCAGCTATGGATTCTCATATAGGAGTAGGAGTTCGTGAGGATTTCAGTCTGCAGGAGGAGTTTTGGCACAGGTAGGCAGGCAGTGTGGACAACTGGGTCTGTCTTGCTGCTTCTGGCCTGTGACTAGCGCTTGCATACACAGGAGGCCCACAACATCCAGATCACTGTTGTCCAGTTGGTTCACAAGTACTACTCAGCAGAGAACCTGCTAGCCACTTGGAGGTTCAGTCTAAAGTGGAATGGTTAGGGGTACAGTGGAGAGAGCCCTGCGTGGGGGCGTGAAAGGAGCTTTCTAGTGCTGCCACTGCCCTTAAGTACCAGAGGACCTTGAGTGAGGTATTTTCCTGTCAGAGACTCGGTTTCCCTTTGTTTAACACAGTAATAATCCTGACTCGATTTAGGAGTCTCTTTGGAACAAGTTCTTTACAAAATTTGGGATTTCTTTTGTAATTAGATGAAGAGACTGTTTTATCTTAATATAATAACTGGTACCAGAATCGTCTCTGTGACAGCACTTTTTGGACACTTCTAATCCTGGGGGCAGGATTGAGGGCTGGTAGAAGTGAGACCTTGATGCCCAGGTGCTGACTGGCTCTGACACTCCAGAGAAAGGGCTGCTCTGCATGAGAAAAATTTATATGTAGCTCCTGACAGGGAGAAAGGAGATGAAAGAGCAAGGAAGAGTAAGGGCCTAGACAGAGCAGGGGCCAGAAAAGAGAATCCTCCCATGGTGAGGTGAAAGGAAAGGATCTTAGATCTGTGCTCCTCCACTTTGGTGGCCTGAATCACCTGGTGTCTTGCTAATTATAGATTCCTTTTTTTTTTTTTAAGAGAGATTTTTGCTATAGGGTGCATGTGCTTGCCAGAGAGACAGAGAGATAGAAGGTGAGAAACACCCCTCCCCTCCAGGGGGATGGTTATGCCACAATCTCTTCTCCTCCAGTCTCCTCTTGGGATTTTGGGCACACATACCTGGCATGAGTTTTAAGTTGCCAGGTCTGTGACTCGAACTGTGGTTGACTATGTGGGAGTCCAGCAATGTAACCATTATGCTATCTGCTGGTCCCGCTAATTATAGATCCTGATTTAGCAAGTCTGGGGATAGACTCAAGATTCTGCATTTCTTTTCTTTTTCTTTCTTTTTTTTTTTTTTAAGAATTATTTATTTAATTTAAAAATAATTATTATTATCCAATTCGTTACAGGGCACATGCACTCACCAGAGAGACACACAGAAAGAGAGAGAGGAGAGAGAGGTGAGAAAGCAAGCCCCCAGGTCCAGGATTTTTTAAAAATATATATTTTATTTTAATTTATTTTATACATTCAATCACATACATAATTTAGTTTGTAAAGTAAATGTTCCAACATGAATACATTTCTCACCAGTCCAGCTGGGGAGACTATACATGTTTTTACCAACAGATAATAACCCATTTCTTTGCCTCTCTATTTTTCTTTTCTTACTCTTTGTTTTTGGAGAGGTTTTTGCTATAGGGCGCGTGCGCTCGCCAGACAGACAGAGAGAGACAGAGAGACAGAAAGCGAGAAATCATCCCCCCAGGGGGGACGGCCATGCCGCAATCCCTTCTCCTCCATTCTCCTCTCGGGATCTTGGGCCTGCACACACACGTGCCCGGCGTGAGTTTCAAGCCACCGGGTCTGGGATGCAAACTGTGGTTGACTACATGGGAGTCCAGCGACATAGCCATTATGCTAACTGCTGGTCCCTTTGCCTCTCTATTTTTCTCCTTAATGTCTTTCCTTAGATTCTCCTCCTTCTCCCACCCTCTTCCCACACTGTATCCAGTATCTATAACCATTTTCTATGTTTCTATATCCTTTAGTCTTTCAGTTTCAGCCATAGAGTATGGACAATCGGTATATATTAAGTGGAGACATAGTGTCTCTCCTTCATAGCCTGGCTTGCTTCATTCAGCAGTAAATCTTCCATATTCATTCACTATCTGTCAAAAGTCAGGGTCTTGTTTTTTATGGCTGAGTAGTATTCCATAGAGTATGTGCCACACTTTTTCAATCCATTTTTCTGTTCGTGGACATTTGGGCTGGATACATGTCTTAGCAATTGTGAATAATGCTGCAATGTACATAGATGTAGGAGCAGTTTTCCAGCTAAGCATTCTTCTGTCCTTTGGGTAGATACCAAGGAATGGGATTACTGGATCATATGGTAGTTCTATTTGTAGATCTTTGTGGATCTCTATATTTTTCTCCACAGTGGCTGGACCAATTTACATTCCCACCGGCAGTGTAGGAGAGTTCCCCTTTCACCAACCACATCCTCACTAGCACTTATCATTTTTTAAAAAATTGTATTCATTCTGACTGGGGTAAGGTGGTATCTCATTGTGGTTTTGATCTGCATCTCCCTTATGATGAAGGATGTTGAGCATTTTTTCATATGCCTTTTGGCTATTTGTATGTCTTCCTTAGAAAGTTGTTTATTCACCTCTTTTCCCATCTTTTAATTGGGTTAATAATTTTTTTCGAGTAAGCAGCTTGAGTTCCCTGTGTATTCTGGTTATCAGTCCCTTATCTGAAACATAATTTATAAAAATATTCTCCCATTCCAAGGGCTGTTGATTCACTAATTAATGTGTCTTTTGCCATGCAAAAACTTCTTAATCTGATGTAATACCACTTGTCTATTTTGGAGATTATTGGCTGTGATTTGGGGGTTTTATTTAAGAAGTCTTTGCCTACCCCAAAGTCTCCCAAAGTTTCCCCAGTGTTTTCCAGCAGTAGTTTTATAGTTTGAGATCTTAGGTTTAGATCTTTGACCCACTGTCAGTTGATTTTAGTTAATGGTGAGAGGTAGGGGTTCAGATTCATCTTTCTGCAGGTGGATATACATTTACTAAACAGGTTTTCCTTCTCCCAATGGATTGACTGATATCCTTTATAAAAAATCAGTTGGCTGTATGTTTTGGGGTTTATTTCTGGGGTCTATATTCTATTCCATTGGTCCACATGTCTGTTTTTGTGCCAATATCATGCTGTTTTGATTATGACAGTTTTATTGTATATTTTGGGGTCAAAAAGTGAGATGCCACCCACTCCACTCTTCCTGCACCGGGCTGTTTTGGCAATATGAAGTCTTTTATGGTTCCAGAAAAATTCTATGATTGTCTTATTTAGATCTGTGAAGAATGTCCCTGGTACTTTGATTGGGATTGTATTAAATATGTAGATTAATTTGGGCAGAATTGTCATTTTGATTATATTAATTCTTCCAATCCAGTAATATGGGATGTCCTTCCACTTTATTGTGTCATTTTCAATTTCTTTTTTTAGATTCTCAGAGTTTTCCTTGTGGAGGTCTTTAACTTTTTTGGTTAGATTAATTCCTAGGTATCTTATATTTTTGTGGCAATGGTAAATGGAATTTCTTTCCTCAGTTCTATCTCAATCTGCCTGTTGTTCA